CTCATTGCAAGAGAAGATTGGGCTGCAGCAAAAGATCGAAATATTCCCGAAGAAGTAATTTTCGTAGATCTTTGACAAAGTCTCTGTGGTGTTTGAATGAACCAATGATACCTTTGTTCTGGTTGAATGTTTGATTTCGAATTCTAAATACAATACATTCGTTTGTGCCTCTGTCTTCTTAATTCAATTGCGTTAATCCTGGAATTCCTAATTCATACGACAATTAGAATACTGTAGTCTCTCATTAGGGTCTCAAATTAAAACTGGAAAGTTTTGCAATCTGTTATCAAGTCATAGACCGGATAAGTGACTTTTTCAGTGATAGAAGACAGTGGATAAAAGTAAATGGAGCGCTCTCATTGTTAGAACCTGTAAAAATGGAGTTCCCAAGATACAATTCTTGATCCTCCTTTCTTTTTACTTTGTGTTAATGAACTACGAACTGTAGCAATGTCATCCGCACTACTCGCCGATGACAGAAAGATTTAAAGACCAATACATAGTATGTCAGATAGAATAGTACAACAGAATGACCTCAATTCACTGGTTCATGGATGGTCACCAGAAGTCAATATGGTCATCTAATTCCATAGCTCTGATGATTCATATCACTACATAATACGTAGAGTTGTGTTATCCGAAATAATGGACTATAAAGATTGCGGAGTCACAATATCAGCAACCTCAAAAATACGAGCAAATGCAAAGCTGCTGTGAAGTGCTTTGAGGTATTATGACCTATGAGTTGGTCATTTTAGTACTTGGACGAAAAAAATGCTTGAAGTGGTACACCTAACTTTCGTGAGACTGCATTTGGGATATTTTGTCAAAGCAGCTAGTCCTTGTTTCAAGTATGAGGCGAATATAACAGAACGAGTTCAACGACAAGGGACTAAAATGACAAAAGTTCTCTCTGGTCTATCTTACGAAAACAGACTTGGAAATCTCAACTTGTTTACGTTGTCTTGCCACAGATTACGAGTTGATCCAATATTGGCCTATCGTATCGTTAACTTTGGTCTTAGTGTCTTATCTTTTCCTACCGCCTAGGACTGATCGTTTGAGAGGACCTTCAAGAAAGTTCGAAAACCGAGATTAAATCATCTACGCCTGAAGTCTCGTATCTCGTACCGAGTAGTGAATTATTGTAATTCTCTACCAGAACACGCATCACCAGCAAATTCTGTTGATATATTCAAAACGAGATCGGACCTCTACAGTGTTAGAAAATGCATGGATTATTAAAAGACCTCCTCCCCCTATTACTAAAGAATTATTAGTGCACTAACATCGAAGATATCGTTATAAGGTAGATAATGATGGACTAGTCAAAGGTTGGGAATGTACTTTTGTCAAAACTACATGTTTAATAACTTTATATGAGTTGTCTTGGGGAAACGTTAGGATGTGGCTTTGGAGTGAATCCGCGTTGTTGTGTTAAAGTCTAGAAAATCCACCACAACACGGCTTGCTTACATGCTTATTTTTGTGTATATTACTCTTATATCAATTGCATAATATGTGGGAGGATTTTTACGTCCGCCGCATACCAGACAGAGATAATCTCCTGCGGTTTAAAGCTTGTGAAGGAGGTGACAGAATTATGGGGTACACTATTTTTAACATATATGCTCTTCACTCAAATTTTAATAACATTTCTTACAATCACAGTTCCCTCAAGTCAGACGTCTCAGAAGAAATCATGAGCACACCTGAACATCCTACTTATCCTAAGATGTTTGTGCAGTGTCTACATTTACTCTGGACACTTACTTAATCCAAACCTACGTTCTTCATCCTTATTCCACAATGAGATTATACTGACCTAGTCAGTCCTCATGATTAAAGTAAATGGCTGACTAATATTTTCCATTGTTTTATTCCTTACTTTTATCATCGTTGATATGCATGGTTCATTGATCGGTTTTTCCTTACAATAAGCAAAACAAAGGTTGATAACAACACCAATACCATGATGAGAAGCATCAGTAGCAAAAATTAGTTCTCGTTCCGGGCTAGGAATTAAATAATAAATCAGAGGATAAGCTTTTCTTGATTTTATCAAAGGAGTTTTAACATTCGTTTGACCACTTTTACGACTAGCTGTTAAAAGCTGATTTAACGGATGGCGTAGTTGTTACGCCCAAGTTTTCGTTCGCTTTCCTCATTAAAGAACGGTATATCGACCCATTTGCAACTTACGAATCCAAACGAACAATATAACCAAGCCCACATTTATGTACCAAAGTTTATTCGCAATTTACAAGTAGTCGACCCAAATGTCGTTCTCACAATAATTATAACAATTATGGAAAAAAACCTTCAAATTAGTAGGTTCCCGGAGCAAAAACTCCCAAATACCAAACCAAAATATCCGAAAATAATGATATAAACAAACAAGTTCAGAAGTTGAGAATAAGAAATACATAGAAAATACAGTGAAACTAGTAATAATCAATATAGAATGTCTTCAGTTCTCCCGTAACATAGTGTCTGCCTGGCCAGAATATATACACTTTAATATCCAATCAAGCCAAAAAATAATCGTAATGTCATTAGGAAAGTCTATAGAGTCAATAATTTAATGGCATATATAATATCCGGATCGGTCAACAATCATGTTTATCAAATATAAATTCAACATACTAAAGAGATTCAAGTAGTTCACTTTTATATTTTCACAGCTGGAAACCGGACTTTGATATTCTTTTAAATAATTTATTTAGACGAGTCATTAGTTACTCTTTGGTAGAACCTACAACAATAATAATTACACCCAAATAGGCTGCAACATGGAGACTTAATATCATATTATCCACTAACGAATATCGAATAGCAAAGCTTGTTCATAAAATATCTATTTAAAATACCACCGGTTTCATCAGAACTAGATTCCCTTAGGGGTTATGGCAGGATAAAATGTTTGTGTTCAGCGTTCTTGTGGACCACGTTGTCGTGTCAACAATCGTACTTTCTTTGCTCACTCTATATAGTCGTATTCTATTCGAAAATGATCATCGATTCTGGTAAAATATGAGTCAAAATTGTGACCATTTTCTGCCATAAAAACAAATTCTGGGGCTGAATTAAGTGATGATTTTATTTCTTTATATTCTAAAGCGCATTGCAGCTGGATTGAAAATATTGATATGTGATGTAAGCAATTGTTCCTGAGAAGTTAAATAATTGACCCTGCTGATGCTGAAGTAATAATTGCATTTGCTCCATAATAATCGATATATTTATTTTTCATTCCTGCACTATTCAGGACAGTAATAAAAAACCTGAATGACTGATTAGTAGGCAGTACCGTGCAAGGATATGGGCGACAAATCTGCATATTGATTGGTCAAATAATTAGACTCACCCTCATCTGACTACTGGCTGACCTTGACTTTCTGTGAAGGTTGAAGTTGTAGATTTTCCACGTCGTCGACAACTGTTGTGCTTGATGCTCCGTCAAACACCATGTAATATCAACGGCAATCAGTACATTGACTTATATAACATAGACACTGTGTCAAACCAATGCCGTGTTAACCAATACGAGCAGTTTAGAGTCAACTTAGGATCCTTACTGGTTCCTCTCACCTTGCTTTGCCCTGCCTGTTGAGTCCAGAATACAATCTCACTTTAGACTGTATGAATCGTAAATTTCAGACATACTTGATTTACACTAAAGTAGACCAGACCACATCACACCATCAAATCAAAAATAATTATTGTACAACATCAAAATAAAAGTGGCTGTGAGTGTGAAAGACTGTAAACTAGTCGATCGCGAATAACTTGAGAATAGTAAATCGTATAATAGTAGTTAATAGGTCACATGGGAGCTTAAAATAATAGGAATATATATGATAACAGTCCATAAGTAGTTCCAAAAAGTTACCCATAATTCAATCTTCGGATACAATTTCCATGTCACGTGCAAGCTCATACATACAAAGTTAGATGAAGGGCTAGATTCCACCATCTTCAAATAGTCAACAAACTCGGCTATAGAACTTTCAAACACGAATAACGAATTTCGCAAAACAAATATTTTATGACCATCTCAAAATACGAAAATACAGTACTCCTTTGACTAAACCCGGTAGTGAGATATCAATGTTCAGATGCTACGAATTACCTAATGTATCAAAAATAATACTAGTTATATGAGATTCAAACGACGGGAAAAAATAAACGAGATCCTTTTGCACTAATCTAAGTAAATTTACTTAACATGTATATTCGGATCATCAGCTGAATGCTATGAAGCTTAGAAAACTCCGCTGCCACTTTACTGACGAACGTTTATTATCAATATTAGTGTCCTGACAAAAATGCTTGAATAATAGTTATTCGGAGGAATTTCAATTAATTAGGCGACTAAGACTTATTTGAATACGTTTTTTGAAAGGATATAAAAAAACATGCCGAGTTGATTAAATTTATATTCCGTTAACAAAGCAAATAAATTATTATTGGCACAAATTTGTGAAATGTTCGCTGAGACTCAAACTTATAACAAAAAAATAATAACCTAACAGCTTAATTTATATATGAGTGTCGAAGTAGAATTCACTTATAAGAGATAGACGTTTGATGAAAAATATGATATTTATATTATTTGTACTACATTACGCTGCATAAGAGAACATAACAAAAAATACAAAGTATCACGTATTACTTGAGAGACGTAGGTAAAATCCTCAGGCCATCATTTTGAATGTAAACCAAAACTCACTGGAATCCGGAGGTAGGACTTTTTTAAGTACTGAATTTGAATAACCTTAGAAATTGGAATTTTACTGAACTACGCTTTGTACAAATAATTGTACCTAAAGATGATGTTTTAGCGTCAATTACAGTATACACAAAAATAGTTGGCTAATAAACGCTACTGAATTCGTCACAAACACTATATTTTAATCTAGAATCAGATAAAGAATGCTCTGCAATTCATATATTAAAAAAATTTAACAACGATCAGAAAATCACAGAAATTGAGATGCTTATTCTCGGAACCGCCAATCTTGTCTACATAAAGGACAATGTTGAGCCATTTGCTGACTATTTAACCATTTTATAATGCAATGCATATGAAAACAATGATTACATTGACCCCAAACAAGAGGACAGTCGTCACCTGGGAGTTTACAATCTGCACAACATGTTTCAAAAGCGTTCCGACAAATACCACAGTCATCATCGTTAGTACACCATTTCCATGCTGAAACTGCAAACCAATGATTAATCTGAAAGTTTGGAGTGATAGAAATATAAATTATAATTTACACATCTGAATAATTTCAGATAATTTCCAAGCAAGCAATAAAATTATGACAATTCTTTAGTTTTGTAGTATTACAGTTCGAAAAACGGAGAAATAAAAACAAAGGTTATGCATTTTTAATATGGGGATATGCCATTATGAACAAACACGTTGTACCTACATTTTTAACTGAATGATAGTGGTTCGAGAATATATATATATATATATATATATATATAAACCAATAGTACTATGATCATACATAAACATACTTTGTTTCAATAAATAAATGCCTTCATATCAAAGCACGTTTTACCGTTATTATATTATCTCATGAGTTCACAGTTTCACATGTCGCTAGCATCGAAAAGCAACCGTACTAATATTCCTACGTAAAATAAAATATCAATAATCGGCTCAAGGAAAATGAAATAACTGACAGACGATACGAAAAGGTAAAGAAAAAACACTTTCTGATGAGCCATCAGTGCTTCATTTTTCAAGTGTTTAGTTGGATAATACTGTTTTTCTCATGATGAAGCCATACATATCAAGTTAGGCAAATCCATAGAATCCCAAATTATTTGAATTACACGTGCATATAAATAACACGTATAACTTAGTCCTTTAAATTCCTGACGTATAGTACTGATTAGGACACACTAGGAAAAAAGTCTACCAACCTTTAGGCTAAGAGGTGACGGAGAGTCAATTAAATTTTTCGAAACTTCTGCTTGTAGGTCAGACATAGGTGCTATAAAAAAGAATCACGAGAAAAAAAAAGACTAAATACCAGACTTGATATATCACTAGCATATATATATATATATATATATATATATATATATATATATATATATATATATAGATTCCAGTTTCTTTGGCGAATGTAAGTTACACGAACATGTATTTGATAAAATATACTGCAAGATATTTCGGAGAATGAATTCTATCCGGAGTAAAAGACAAGTAGATTTTATTTTAATCTAATCCCACTAATTGCTTCACACATTTCAAACATTGCAGCGTTTTACTCCAAATTAAAATAATCGTCGACTAGAGATTACAATGTGCATTGTAAATTTAAAATGAAATTTCACTACACAACAATATACAAAAATACGGAAAACAAACCGATAATATCATTAATTAGTAGGTGTATTGTTAAATAAAGACCTATAAGTGAAAAGTTTGTAATTTCGAGGTCTATTGTTGTATCATTGTTCTTTATCATGGGTTCATCGAACATTTTGCATGTGGTATTTCTAAATGATTTTATTTGTTAGCTTTGACTTGACATATATTTTATTATTCATAGATCACAGTCACTTAATTATGGATCTGTAACTCAATTTGTACTGCAAATGACCAATTCAGTTTGAAATAGTGATTTATTATTATTTATGCTACGTTTTAGTCTTGTTAATTGATGTACAATATCAAGCGAGTTTTGAGTTATAAAATAAATACAGTTAATCAGGCGAGTTCTGTTTCTTGTGTTTTGGTTAGGAAGGTTAAGCTGCAGTAAGTCGTCGTAACCGATCCTCATCAGCATACTTAGTGTGGACAGCGAGTGAAGAGAGGGTAATTAGTAATACTGCTGTTAGCAAAATCATCACGCTCTAATTAGTTGGTTAATTAGAATTTAAAAACATGCCATTTATAAAGCAAGTGGCAACAACTAGTAAACAACTGATTATTGAAACATGGTGCAAATTATCAGGCAAGTTGTGGATTTGAATCACGTTTCAACCTTGAAATTTTTCTTTATCAATATAAATATTGATCAACGACAGTGTAAAAACGTACTGCTAACTAAAAATGAATGTTACGTACTATATGCGATACCAGCAAGTTCGTGTACATATACATTTAGTAATAAGTATTTATGTACGCTAAAATAGATCACATATATGCAGATATTAACATTTGTAAACTGTAAATTTATAAAAATTATCCTAACTCATACAATTCAATAAAGCGATAATAAAATATAACCGGTCAATTTCAAAAAATTCCATATTAAGCCATAAAAATATTTACTTATGTTTTTTAAAAATTTACTCCAGTAAACAATGTTTGAAAGTCCCGTATTGTCTACAGATGTATTTCAATCTTCAACAGTTATCTCTTGGAATGATGAAACTGAAAATTGACAAAAATATGTTGGTACGAAAAAAACGCTTGTTTAATAAGTGCAAACTATATTTAAAAAAGAAAAAATCTTCCTGTATAGAGACTAGATAAAACAGCAGTATTTTACGAAGGAAAATGATATGAGACCATATATTGCAGATAAATACTTTGAATAAGTTCATTAAGTTTAACACTGAAATCAAAAGTGCTTTACAAGTGAGTGTACTAAAACCTCATAGGGAAATTCTAGTACGTAGTAAGACAAAAAGAAAACAATAAACTTTATTTTGTTATAAAAACCATTAAGGCTTTGAAACTCAAGTACATATGCATGTGGAATTTTCGAATTTAGATGTTACGTCTTTCATACGCTTGCCAAAATAATATACAGAAATGAACTTTTCTCGATCTATGTTACGGCCCTAACACGATAAGCTAAATAATTTAATCTTGAGGCAGAGAGACGTAAACTATGCTATTGTAACGAACGGGAACACAGACAGGGACAGCCAGTGTATTTTAACACAAAATTACAGAGTACTTTGGCAAAATGTGAAAACCATACGTCTAATAATTCATTTTCAAATCCCCCATCAATTGAACCAAACTTCATTGCCATAACAGTCCCTTTGTTCTCGTGCTCTTCGATCCGATCTTCCTAACCTTCTGCTGCCAGGCATTTCATTTCTGACTGGTATCATATACTACATATATCGACAAAAGTAGCATACACCACACTATCACTTGACTGGTTGGCAAGCTTGCGTGAGTGAGAAGAGCCAACTGTAACACTAATCGATTTATTCCCGATTCAGATTAGTGTAAAAAAATTAAGTGAAATAACATCCTCAAAAATAACTTCCGCTGTTTGTAATGGCTTCTTTATTTCTCTATTCACATCAACAGAAATAAGCACTTGGTTAAGTAGTCTTGAAATACAGAGATTAAAATGAAGAAAGATGTCATAAGTAAACATGAGACAGACCGATTGTTATATCCTAGTGAAGATTACATTACGAGTAACGTCTGAGACCTATTAATTGACTAATATTATTTATATATTCTTATGGTATAAATATTCAGTAACTAGATTATGTATATCTATATTCCCCTAGTTATAAGCTTTATTTCAACCTAGATATTATTATTGTACGATTTACTGTTCTTAAGCCATGTTCAGTTTATTGACTACTGCCTCCCACGTTCACAGCCACTTTTTGACTTTATTGTGTATGAATGTTATTTCCTATTTTATGCTGCGTTGCGGTCTGTTTGAAATAAATTATTCGCATAGTGGAGGCTGTTATTGGCATTCTGAACTCAGCTGGACGGGCTAGGTGAGCAACAGACTAATAGGACGCTAGGCTGATCAGACCGGTCGAACGTCATTGGTTTAGTACAGTATATGAGCGAATAAGTCATATTTTGATTGGCGAATAAATTAAGTGATACCAAGCGGCTCATAAAGTCACAACACCGATAATACGTAATAAGACAAAAATTAAGTACATTCACATCATTATGAAAGTGAAACGGAAGAACTGTAACTTAGAAATTCGAACATTACATTAACGAAAATCATTAGACCCAGAACGACTACCGAAAACTTCATACATTATTGTAATGTATGGGTTTAGTGAGGGTATCACAATATCCTCTAGTATCAGAATTTTTCGGATACAGTACATAATGATAACTAATCCACACCTAGATAAACTTAGTTGAAATACACTAATTATTTAGCCCTAAAATATCGTGAACGTCAGCGTTTGTAGTAGTTGTATCACTCGCGTTCTCTAATTTGAAACACGCTGCATAAAATCAACCAAACAACAAGGTCTTAATACGCTTCAGGGACTTAGCAATGACTGAATTTGATCTGTTAAGGAATATAATAAACTACTAAGCTGAGTGATAAGGTACTGGAAGTTATTCAATATTAGATAATTGAAGACAATGGAAAATACCACTGGATCAATATGACTACAATATTAGATGCCGACAAATGGAACTTAGAGAAGGTTGTTAATAAGAGCAGTACGCTTTTCTATCCCATACGAATTCCCGATCTCGAAAGTGAACTGGGAAAAGTAAAGAACTAATAAACGAAAACTACTAAGGAATAAGTCATGGATAGTCGAGAATAAATAGCTGTCCCTCGGAGTCTAGGGTCACTTGCAGGTTCCTTCTCAAGTATATCATGATAAAATCCTATTGCACTTTGTGAGCAAGCAGAAACTAACATCCACTTAAAAACCTCTAACTGGCTAACAGTAGTATTCAAATTTTCCACTGATCACTATTAGGACGTTTGGTGGTAGACTTAACGGACCACAGAATAATCACATTTCCTGAGCTATAAGTATCAAACATAGTATTGGTAAATCCATTAGTACATTCTGTATGTATTCATTAGGCACGTTTTCGTATGCCATCGTCATGTGACCTATCTTAAAATCGACTGTGAAATAATCCAGTAAGTCTACGATGTAACATATAATGTGAAAAGCGAGTAATTTCTTCTACTCAGTTGTTTTAATCAGTCAGACACATTCTTTGAAATATTCGACAGATCAAAACATTATATCGGCAGTGTTCTACTCTACAAGACACAACAACAACAGCAATCAAACAGAAAAGAAAATTAGAGAATGTCAATCTAATCAGTTTCTATTTGATAAACAGTAAGCGAAAAAACTTGAAATTTAAAAAATCCGTAAGAAATTATATGTAACAAAAACAAAAAAATGAGTTTTCTTCTCATTGGTTGCTCATTTTTAAATGCCACAACGCTAATGAGCACATGATTAGTTACTGTAGTTGATATCTTCTTTGAAAATACTACATATTGGGAGGTTTATTATCTACAGAACTAAATGTTGAATTATCATTATTATTAGCGATATTATTATTATTATTATCTTCATCTAGTTTCTTCCTTTTTATATATTCTTGTAAATGTGCATAATCCTCGGCAATCTCTCCATAAACGTCAAATTGACTGGCTAATTGACGTAAATTATTACCTGTTGAGTTTTGCAAGTTGTTTTCTGTAGAGTCGTCAAGATCAATGATAAGTTTTTGAGCTAATAAACTACGGGCTAGATTAAGTCGACTAGGTGCCGGATAATTTGCATCTGTATAAATTTCATCAGGCATATTCCATAGCAGAATACCAACTAATCTTTTATCTTTTGGGGTAAGATAGAAAACAACACCTTTGGTAAGTCTACCTATACTAGAATCAGGTATATGGGAAAAAGATCGAGTCGTCGAATTGTCCTCTTTAGATGACTTATGTTCAATATCATTGTCATCACCACCGGTAGTAGTGGAAGAGGCAAAGAAAGCACGTGTTAAAAGTAGGCGTGAATCAATCAATCCAACTGCATCCCACGATATTTCCGGACCAAGTGTAGACCATAGAGATGATTGGTGTTGGTAGTATGATGATGACGACGTTCTAGACGAAGATTTATTATTTCCAGATAATAATGAAGCAACCATATTTTTTCCAGCTAATGATCCAGCTTCTTCAGCGAAATTTAGATGCTCAACACGTCGTCGGCAACCAACAATTGGGTCCCAATAAGATGCAGCATCGCCAGCCACATAGACACCTTGTCTTGCTTCCAATTCGGCATTCACTAGAAATCCACCATTATTAGGATCTACTTCAAGGGATGCATCTGAAGAAAGCTCCGTGTTCGGTTCTATACCAATCTATCGAGAAAAATGTGAAATGGAATAACTTGAGAATACTAAATCGTATAATAGTAGTCAATAAGTTACATGGAAGCTTATAATAAAAGGAGTATGAATATACATACCATAGTTATACAATAAGAATATATATCAGTCCATAATCAGACAACCAATGGGAACATACGACTTTAGAGAATTAGTGTGTTATAATCTCTCTTTTCTTACGGTTATGACCCAGCTATTCCCAATGCTTAGTATTCTCGGACACCGATTCACTCGACAAGTCCCCAAATCAAGACACGGTTGAACAGGAAAGAGATTATATTCCAAATAACAAGGTTAGATGGAAGCAAGAAGCAAGTAAGAAGCACAATAGGGAAAACGTCAGTATATTTATAGTTTTCACATAAGAAGATTCCAGAGAATTCTCCAACTATCGGCTAGTGCTGATTGGATAAGAATTAGCCAATCAGCGTGCACCAAAGCAATCATGCATTGAGCATGCTTTAACCTAGTCTATGTCCCGCTAACATAGTGTCAGAAAGAATCAAGTGAATTTCCAGAAATAAATATTGGTCAAATTCAATTGATGGTCTTTTTTTAATTCTCAAGATTGAGAATAATTTCATTAAAATTACACAAATATTGTAAATATTCCTGTTGCCACTTTTATAGTTTTGTAAGAAATTTCCTGTGTAAATTATTTGTAATTTCATAACCGACTAGGGCGAATTGCTTTCGCATTCAACATGCATTTGCGTTCATTAAATATAGCTCATTTGTAATACAATAGAATGGAAGATGTGCTTAGATTATTAATCACAATCTGATCATAAGTCTACTGTATAATTTATGAAATCTCAATAATTTGAAATCTTCAGAAAAAAATTACAGTTTATAGATCATAGAATGTAATATTAGCAAAGTAGAATAGTAAGAAAAGCTATTCGTTAATAGTACAAAATAATTTCCTGAAAGTCATTCACACACAGTATGGAATATGACAAATATACATTTAACCAAGTTGGCATAATACTACGCTGGTACGAGATGAAATTAACGTAATGAGTAACGAAGGACTCAAAGTAATGGTGGTGGTAGTGAAAGTAAGAAAGAATAAACACATAATATAATTTAAGGAAGAAAACTAGAAGATAAGATCTAGGGGTAGATATAGAGTGAATGCACCTGGACAACTGTGAACGATTTTGAGCCATTCCTCTTTGTGTCTTCAACCACTGATGGCATGAACATCAACCAGATAGTTTAGACTGATCAAAATGTCAGTCTAAAAGTCGATGACTTCAGGAAATGATGCCACATCTTGGTTTGGTCACCTCTATATTTACTCCAACCTATTTTCCTACACCAGTTAAAAGCGTCCGCGGAGATAGGCAGTGATTAAGATACGTAACAGATGTCCCAGTTGCATGATTCGACAAAGACCTATTACTTTATCAACCAATTAGCGATCTTTGTCTAAAGGTTTATGATTAACTTGGTCGCTTCGCAATCAGCTAAAAACGCATAGAAGGTGATAGATACCTGATACATCTTAGGAGATCAACATTTAGGTCTAGTAGCTCAGCGGTAACGTCTCAGACTGAAAAATTTAGTGACGAAGATTCGGATTCTACAAAAAACATTAGTTCCTTCATAATTGCAGGTAACCATAGTTAATGAATACTAGCTAACACGAGATTACATCTGTTTTTGATCGACAACCTAAAATCAATTAATATCTCAACATAGTACACGCAATATGAAGTCACTTAGGTTAATAGTCATATTGCAACTTCACTGACAGGATTCCATCAGTACCAAGGTATTAAACGAACATGACATTAATCAATACCTTGTGATCAATCAACTGCATTTTTAATACTTTGTGAACGATGCGCTATACATAAATCTGTACTCAACACCTTCCCCGACTGTTTCTGCTACCTTGATGTGGTAGTTGTGCTTTCCTACCGTAATGAACCAATCGAGCTATACTGGCTGAAATAATCGTTTCTCAAGGTCCTACCATACCAGACAGGTCGGTTGAAGAGCCGTAAGACTAAAAGCAGCAAACCCAAGGCGAAATCGTACTGCTGACTGTACAGAGGTGTGACAGCAGTAAGGTGTTTCCTTCAGATAACCAGCATAACAGCGATGCTGCCTTCTAACAAAGAAAGAGCGGGACTAGAAAGGCTCGACCCTAGAAATGCACACTTCGTCTTATCTCACGAATTCCCGTCTCCGGTGATGAGGGTCCCAACAAGTACAGAGCTAACACAAAAATTACTCACAAGAAGCTCGTGTTTGACCCGCCTCGAGCAGTTGTCACTCGGGTACTGAGGTAACGTTCTCAGGTCACTAAGACCCACCCCTGACCGTATTTCGTTTCCAGGCACCTCCAGAAGAACCCTTCCACGGTGTGGGCAACCGGGAAGTGATAACTGCCCTCATACCTCTAACAGCATTCATAATCAGTTTCCCTCTTCAATTCCTATTATTCCTCCAATGTGGTTCTGAAAACGAGGCTGACTCAGATGTTGCTTGGAAAGCTATATAATCAATTGTGGAAACAGCAGTGACATCTATTATTGGTTTAAACGATGAGGTTACAAAAAACCAATGGATTTCTTCAAGGTCTGTTGCACTAATAGATTCTCGTAAACCCATCACATCAGGCTCGGGCGCCTAACAAAGACTCATGAAATGCAAACACGAGAAAATCGGGCTGGCTTCAGAACTGGTCGTGGCTGTATCGACTACATATTCACCATTCGTCAGATTTCAGAACGCAGGCACGCTTATCGGCGTCCGACAATGGTGGTCTTCACTTAAAAGCAACATCCGACTCTATTGACCGAGAGTTTCTGTGGCAGTGTCTGTCATTGAAAGGTGTAGCTCAGAAGTACATAAACCATGTGAAGGCTCTTTACTCGATAACAACCAGTCGAGTCACAGATTATGGCTAACTGTCATCTGATTTTACAACCTCGAGTGGTGTCTGGCAAGGCTGTCCACTATTTCCATTTTTGTTCAACTTCATCCTAGACATACTGATGGAAATAACTTTCTCGCCGACTGGATTATCAGGAACTGATCTCCTACCAGGAGGTCCAATTATCGACTTTGAATACGCAGATGACATTTTCCTCTTTGGTGAAGACGTTGATGAAATGCAGTCTTTTGGTAGTACTGAGCAAGAATGCCAGGATGTTTGGAATGCGTTCCTACTCATCTAAATGCAAGTTGTTGCTTCAGAACTGGTCTACGTCAACACCTGAATTAAGGATAAAGAGTGAAGTAGTCGAACAAGTCGACAACTTCACTTGTCTTGGAAGTCTGATCATCCCAACTTTCGTCACCTACGGCGAAGGCGAGATGTCCGTCTGTCAATAAAAGGATGAGTATACTGCGCGACAGTTCGTTCTGTTTTACTTTAAGGCTGCGAAACATGGTCATTAAGCGTTGAAGATAGTCGTAAGCTACAAGTATTTGACCACATATGCCTCAGAAATATTGCTGGCATCTGCTGGGATCACT